CCTTAGACTAAATAGGATGAATACATCTCATTACACTAAAATAAGGGAATCAGGGAGAGAGTAAACGGATATTACGAGGCAAGCAAGAGCCTATGATAAGACCTAGGGAAGGAGGACTGCGTAATAATATTACAGACTCTAATCAAAAAATCCTGCACAAGGGTGAAGGGGGTGAGTACGACAGCATGGGGTGTGAATGGTTTTAATGAAAGCCGCACAAAGGAGCACACAAAACTACATCTAAATAGGCACGGTAAAAATTGAAAAATGGAAAGCGTGATGGGAGGATATAGTAAATGTGAATAGCCCAGGGCAGAAGGGGAGATACCACAACTGTTTAGCACACGTTTGGTTAAAGGATCGGCTTCACTTATCTCTTTGACGAGTTGCTGAATGGTGCCAAGAATGGCGAGACTCACTGATGATGGCGACTACGATGCCGGCGAAACGTCTGGGAATGTACTACGTCCACGGTCATACTCTGTAAATGATAATGAATACAATGGACTCCGGCCAAGGTGCGTTCCTCTAAGTCTTTCTACCAATATGACTGAGTTGTGAAAATAAGGTCAAACAACTTGTATACAATGAATGGAGACTGCGACCACACAAAAGCCATACCATCTTGGTCTTCATACCCTCGATTAAACCGCGACTATTCTGTTTTTATCCATAATATAAGTCTATGACTTCCTATGTACTAGTCTCTTATGTGCAAACCCAAATACGTTGTTGTTCAACATTGAATCTAGTCAAAGCAAGCAGTACCACAACATTTGTGGGTTGGCACACAAGCGATTCGGGCATGGAAAATCATACACTAGGTAGTAGAGATAGAAACAGGATAGACTCGGCGGCGATGGGAGCTATTGGGCTGACAGTAGGTTTTATAAGAGAGGTGGTCCATGTGCCAAAGGCGTGACCATAAGACTCACTCAGAGGCTTTGTCCACGAATTAGTCACTTAGGCGCAGGGGAGGGCGAATAACGCCTCGAGTGGCACAGATGGGGTGGCAGGGGTCGAGTTAAATATGTGAACCAGGGAGAGGGCAGACAGATCTTATGGGGCAAGAGAGAGACTGTGGTAAGGCCTAGGGAAGGAGGACTGCGTAACATTATGGCAGACTATGTTCAACATTTTCAGCACAAGGTTGAAGGTGATGAGAACGCCAACGTGAAGTGCGGAGGGTTCTCATGAAAGCCGCTCAGAAGGTCATAGCACACTAGATTTTATTAAGCAACAGAAAAATTGTAACAATGACGGTATAATAGGAAGATATAAGAAATGTAAAAAGCTTAGTGCAGAAGAGGAGATA